TTTCAAGTTGGCAAATATTAGAATAAATAACTGAATGTAAGGTCCTGAAAAATGTACCAAGCCCATATATAATAATAGGCATTATGGTATCATGGTGGTTTTGTTTTTGTTTTGTATGTTGGTGATTCTGAGAAAGGAAAGAGCCTTATGACATTATGTGCTTGTGGGAATTTTGGAAGCCATTATGAAAAAGGCAGAACTTTGAACCAAAAAGGAAGTGTAAAATTTGGGTTGGAAGAGAAGAAATCAATGATTCCTGAAATAAACTAATGATTATGGTAGGCCATAATGGGTAAGAAATTTTTGTGAACAGAACGATATGGGAAGCATCTTAGCTGTTCATTCTTTTGTCATAATAGCGTAGTTCTGTAAGGGTTGCTATGCACAAATAATTTCACTTGTTGCTATGTTCCTAAAATACACATTTTACTTCCGTTTTTCATTTCATGTGTTTTTACTTTACAGTTGCCATTTATTTACTAAAAGCCAATGTGTAAAACGTCCTCTCTCTACTAAGGAAAATGTGCTCTTACAAATTGTTTATTTAGTATACATGTAATCATATAGCCTTTATTTATGCAGCCATGGTTACACAGTATGTTTGCAAAATATATGCTTATACAAGAACCATTTTGTATAGTGTTCACTATAGATTCTAAAACTTATGAATAAAGAGCTTCTAAAACAATGGCACCATAATATTTATTGCAGTAATTATTATAAAGGTATATTACATTAATAGAGTGCTGTCTACCCCATGTCACTGCCACTCAGATCAAGAAGACATTGTACATCTTCCTAGTCAATACAATCTCTCATACTACTTTCTATAGAGGTAAACACTATTCTGATTTCTGTCTCTGCATATTAGTTTTATCTGCTCTGGAACCTCATATATTATTCCATATATTTAGTTTGGCATTTAGTTTCACTACATATTGCCAGACAGTTTTCCAAAGTGGTTGTATTAATTTAAACTCTTACCAGGAATGTATGAGAGTCTTAGTTGTTCAACTATTATAGTTTTCTTTTCAACCTTTTGAGAGCTTTTAATTCCCAACATAGCTCTTAAAGTGTAATGAGATTATGACTTTATGAATTGAAGTAGCAATTATTTTTCATAATTGTAGTTCATGTGACATTGTTTTAAAAAAGAAGTTTGGTTAACTTTACTTTGGTTAAAGTATGTGAGAAGAATAGAAGTTTGGGTATAGTCATTTCATAAGTTTAGGTGGTAATGTCATATGAAAGCTAAATATGGCTTTTAAGCTAGCTATTTTACTAAATTGCAGTCAGACTTTGAGAGCTGACAATAAGAATAACCTCTCTTTCTTTCTCTCTCCCCATTTATACCATCCCTTTGGCTTTACCTTGATAAGTGAAACAAAAGCATTGATGGAATAAAGATAAATGAGAATTTATTACTTTTAGAATTGTGCAGAATTTGTCACTGAAATATGGATATCGCTGAGGTTCAAAATGGTGCATAATCCAAAAATAATTTGAAATGTATTAGGTACATACATTTGGGTAAGAATATAAGTGATTAAAAAAAATCACCACACTAAGATTCTAAATGAAATAGTCAAGTCAAACTCTGATGATCATGACTCAGAAGTATTAAAGCCTGATTCAAGAGCAATTGGAAAGTGATTTCCAGTTATCTTGTCTTACTCTTTCCCCTACTTGTTTGGAATAAATTCACCCTTCTCATTGCGGTCCAACTCTAATCAAAATCACAGTGAAGATGTCAAAGATGGCCGCATGCAACCCATATGTCAATATGCTCTTTGCTTTTTATAAATATACTTTATTTTGTAATTTGTTTTTTATCTAAGTTCAGTGAAGATACTGAATATTTTAGTTTAAATACTTCCTACTGGGTTTTATCCATAAAACCAGGATATAACTGTCCTAAGGCAGATAGTTATAGGACTTTGGGCTTGGATAATATCAATATTATTTTCAAATTTTAAGTAAATTAATAGTCCAGAACTCAGTGGCATAGAGTACCTAGTAAAATTAAGTAAAATATCAAATAGACAATAAGCTAACAAATGTAGTTCATTTTTTAATCATAACAAAACTTGTGGCAGGAGTCAAGTGATTCAAGGATTCTATTGTTTGAGGGGAAATTTTGTCCCTAAGTAATAAATTTGTCCATTGTTTGCTGTCAGAATTATTTTCATGAGTTTCTCAACATGTGGATGTTTTTATAACTAGTAACTCAGCTTCATTGATGGTGTATGGTTAATAATTTTTATAGTTTTCTATGAAAAACAAAAGACATCCAAAATCTAAGAATTCAGAAAAGTATCTCAATTATCCATTGTCTTGTATTCTTAGAAAATGATGTATCTAAGGGCAGTAATTATGTTTCACAGATGGCACTTATTCCACGTTGGAAACAAATGGGAAAAAAAGAAAAGAAAAAGAGTATACCAACTAATTCTTATGTACTGAACTAGGTGTTCCTAAATATTAAATGACTCCCAGAAAGTATTAAATGTTTTTGAAAGCTGTGCTATATTTTTAGACTGACCAGGACCATTATATATGCTTTCATGATAGAATATGATTCATATTTCAAGATGTAAGTCTTAGACATCATTTTTTATGTTCAGAAGTGAACAGAAGACAATACATTAAAATAAAACATTCACTTTGAAAAATCACCTTATTGTCCAAAATCATTGGAGTAAAATAGACGTTTAACAGAGAGATTATATTTAAAGGGGCATTTTTTTTTTTTTTTTTGCGAGGGGGAAAGAATTCTAATCAGTATGTAGAATTCACTAAAACCTGAATCTCTTGTGATTATTACCTATGGTAGTCATATTTTTAAAAATGTGATTTATTCATTTCATAGCTACATACTGGGGAAAGAGGATGGTAATGGTGGCAGCAACTGTGTTTTAGACATCAAAAAAAGCAATATGACCCTATCTATAGATGAGTTAATCCAAAAGCATTGAATCATATGAACTGAATTGAAAGAACAATTTGGAAAGAAAATAAAACAGTAAAACATGAAGGTCAAAATTCTAACCACAGTATTTACTGAGTGGTTGAGAAAGATTTTAAGAAATTTTCGCCCTCCAGTGGTTGTTTTGGAATTAATTATTATCATTATTTTGTAATTTTTAATTTTAACCTGGGCTCTCCATTTTCCAGCTCCATTGTTTTTGGTAACCCAGGAAAGTTTACCTTGTCTATACCTAGGAGGAGCTTTGGGAGACCAACTCAATTTGATTACTCAGTTTTATGCTTGCTGAAAGAATAAGGCCAGTAATGTTAAGAGTGCCTAGTATATGATGATGAAGTTTAGGCTCACAAGATAGGTTCACAAAAGGGCAATCATGCTTGATTTATCTGATTGCCAGACTGGAAATGAAAGAAAAGCAGTGACATAATTACCCCAGATTCCTCAGACCTCAAATAAAATCCAGCACAGATATTTGCAAAATTCTTCAGAATGACTGCAATGCATTTTAAAGAAGGATATCACTGCTTTAGCAAATAAAAGAAGGTTTACAAAATCAAAGACAAAGGATGTTTCTGAAATCTGTGTTGCTTGCAAATGGAACAAAAGAGAGCAGGGAAAGAAAGTCACTTGGTGAAAGAAGAAAAGCAGAGGACTGAATCAGGAAACACTGTGGGTGCCTGTTTTGTGAGCTTGGTCATATTCTTTGAGCCTCAGCTTTCTCACCTATGAAACAAAGGATGTGGACTAGGCCAAGTGGTTTCCATGAAGCCAGTGTTTGGACAGAGGCAAGGGGTAGCAGAACTGATCTCATACAAAAGAACTGTAATTTAAATATTTGTGAAAGCAAAATTAGCTAGTGATTAAAAAGCTGGGCAGAAAGGTGGCTCAAGGAGAATGCAAATTTATCTTAATGAATTCAAAATACAGTATAAAACTGATGGAGGTGATCCTTTCAAGAAGGAAAATAAAAGAAGCATATCATCTTTCTCTCAATTTCCTTCCCTGTAGTCTCATTCTCTTCTCTCTGCCATCATATTTTTTTCTCTTGACTTTCTGTTTCCAGTAACCATGGTGATGCTTCTTCCCAGCAACCTTCTTCACAGCTGGCCTTTTTGGTTCTCATCGAATTCTGCTCCATTCACTGGTTCAGATTACTAACAATGCTGGGTAAAAATTAATTTATTTATTGACATTCTTCTCCTTCCCTTTTCTCCAGGAAATAAATGCAGGAAATTATTCCACACTTAACCTCCCTACATAAGGGGCACTGTAAAACAGGGATGTTCAACTGCTAATTTCAGTTGCTAACATGGAGGGTATATAGATTATGCCAAAGATTGAATTCTCTGCCTGGGCCCTCAGGGACTGAGAAGTCCCAGGACCAAGCTGGTTGCCACCTCCTTTTGCTTTTGTATGTAAATAGAATGAAATAGATTGCCCCCAGAAATCACATATTGGCTCTGGTTTTCTAATTCTCCTTGTGGCTTTTTTCTCCTTTTTCTCTTGTAAGGAAAACATGGCCACGGGCATAATTATAACTGTTAAAAGGGTATTGAATTTTCTGTGGGAAAATATACATAAATATTGCATTTCTTTAATGAGCATAGTTATTTTGGAATATAAATAAGCAATATGCGATAGTTTAAAAATATTGTAATTATCTGCCAATGACAAAGCATCAAAAAAATCTCTGATGTCCTTAATGCAGATAATAAAAATTCCCATAAACTAGCATTTAGTTATACCCAGTTTGTGTAGCTTAACTTGTTTGTAATCCTATATGGCTGAAAACTGTTTCTCTATTTAAGCTCTGTGTGTGTGTGTGTGTGTGTGTGTGTGTGTGTGTGTGTGTGTGTGTCTGGCATTAACACAAAGGAGACCAGATGATGACATTCATAGGCTGATAGACTCGACTCCTGGGGATACACTTGGATGGAGGCAATTAAAATGCCTGTCAGGCATTTGGTACCAGAAGCCCCTATGGCAAACCGCTAAAACGTAAGTGAGGGCTGCATCCTATTGTCAGTGAATGATGGCGGAGCTGAGTGGCTTGTCATCATTCTCGAAAATTCTGAGGCTAGTGAGCTCTTTCCCTCTCTCCCACTCGCCTTATTTTCCTGTTCGCCACTGCGGGGACTTTTTCTAATTTGCAGCTTCCCTTTCCCCGGCACACACAGACAGGAGCTGGTGGCTTGCAGACTGCGTCTGTCTAGAGCTAGAGAGCCAGAGAGCCAGCCTGTGGGGATAATGCTCCCGGAGAAGGATTCTGCAGCAGTTCTCAAAGGCTAGACTTGAGTGGTGTTGCTGCATATGCGCTGGTAATGGTTCCGGGCTTTTAATTTTATTTTGTTTCATTTTTAATCCGTTATTCAAAGGTTTTGCTTTATGTAATCTCAGAGTAAAAATGTTTTAAAATTTAGTATTGAGCTTCCTAAATAGTCAAGTACTGCATTTTTTTTTTGTACTACAGATCTCCAGGCATAGATTTACCATTTGAATATAAAAAATGCATTTGCTTAATGGTGAGTTATAATTTTTGATATTTAGTTAACAAATTCATATATATATATATATATATATATTCTTTTGTTTTGTTTCGGTAGATTCTTCAGCTTGTTGTCTCTAACCGAGGAAGCATTGACTGGGAACTACTCATTCAGAAAATTAAAAGGTACCACATGTTTTGTTTGGATCTTTTAAAGAGGGAAAATCTGGGGAGAACTGAAATATTTTATTTAAATTAATTTATCTACAATTGATCCTTAAGCTTAAGTTGATCATTGTCTATTGCATATACCATTTTCTATGCAGATACTTCCATTATCTAAGGTTGTTTTGATTAGACAATGACTCAAGAATTGTGTCTTTTGCCTATGTTGCAAGTTATTAACAAATATCAACATGTTTAGCTTATTTAGAGATTTTATCATTGTAACAGTTTTTTTAAGTCCGAAATTCTCCATCTAAATGAAAATTCATTAATTTGAATTTAAGAGAAATAGGCTAAGTAATGATTTTATCTGAACAAATCCTGCTGATGAGTGATTTATTAAAATGGTTAAATGAAATGCCTTGCCCTTCCCAGGTAGAATGGGTGCTAGAGACGAAAGCCCAGGAATGACTCAGTATTGTTGGCTTTACGAGTAAAATATTGTAACTTCTTTATTGATGTTTTAGTTTTTAACAATGGATATATTTAAAAGCTGAGGTTGTTAGTTTTTAAAAGAACTTATTTTACATATGCTTTATTTGAAATTGACAGCATAAGAAAGCAATCCTTCATCTTGCCATGAATGCACTTGAATCCATTTGATCTGGGCCTCATGCCTTACATGAAAAACAATAATGTTGAAATTCAGCATCAGGATATATATTGATTTGAGATGGCAATTATGGACCGTCTTTGATGTTAACACCTATTCAAGTCAATAAAACCCATATTTGTAATTTGCCTTTAAAAAATGGAAGACATTTTCTGCCTTACTGGGAAGAAGATCAGTAATATCTTTTAAACCTTTCCTTGGGATCAATGTATAATATTTCCTCTCAAGACTGTCAGTTCAAAGCATTTTCTGTAATAAGTTTAGTTTTTAAAAAAATATACCTGAAAATAGTTAATGTTCAACTACTGACCCTGAAATATTATGTGAGTGTATACCTGTGCATGTGAATATTTATAGCAGGTGAAGGAGAGTAATACATTGTTCTTTGTTAATATTCTCTGCAATGTGTAATCACAAGAACCTTAATTTATTCATTTCACAAGCACTTCTTAAGAGCCTTGCTGCTGTGGGTAGTTACTGTGGGAGAGAGGGAAGGGGTAGATGACACTGTCCTCAGCCTTCTAGAGTGTAGGCAGCATCACATAAAGATTTTTGAACAGCAGAATGAAAGCGTTAAAATAAATCAGTGTTCTAAGAAAGGAAATTGCATTATTTCAGACTGTGAACAAAAGCTAATACTAGTCTTGGCGACACATAAAATTATATTGCACTTCTTCCTCAGAAATTACTCAGTGGAATTATGTATGAAATCCCCCAAACAGGACTATTTCTCCTGGATATTGTTAAACCCTTGAGACTATTCTCTCTTTTTATATTTCATTCAAAGTAAGTGAAGATATTTATATTTGGTGGAAAAAAATCTATTCAGTATTATCCCATCTAATTAAATCTGGAGAGCATATATTTCACATGAAGATCTATTTCCTAATCTTCATACTCATTCAGCAACTCATTATATTAATTTTGAACTTTAGGGTATGTTTATGAATTGGAAAAAGGGGAAATTATTTAACTACTAAAAAATGACTTAATGCATTGTCAATAGGAACTAATAAGTTCTGTTATGATTTGTCTGGATATTGGAGAAGGGGCATATGACCTCAGTAACAGGCTCTGGCATCTAAATTTTGTAGGACCAGTTAAAAATTCATCTAGTGGTATGCTGACAAAGTATGTATAATAGAAAAGGAGTTTATTAAAAGAGTAGATTGGGTGGTCAAATCTGAACAGCATTTGACTATTGGAGTCTAAGAAAATCAGGGCCCTATACCATGGTTTTTCTAGTCAATATTGTGATGAGTTAATTCCTTTACTGATTTCACTCACTTTTTTTTTCACTTACGTTTTTAGCATATAGTATAGTGCCTGGGTCACAGTAGGAACTCAATAAATGTTTATTTTATTTGTCAGCATTCTCCCCCATTACTTTTTTGTTCTTGCCTTTCATAAGATTATACACTGTGAAACAGACATCTGGTCATTTTTTTTTTTTTAGTTACCCAAAATATTCATTAAATGTTTCTAATAAATAATAATTAGATTATTAATACTGGATAGAAAAGTGACAAACCATGTATAGAAATTTTTTTAGGCCGTATGGAAAAGGGTTTTTCTGGTTTTAGATTAAAATGTGAAGAATTCTTGAAATGTCCCCTTTCACTTTCATCAGCTGGGGGAAATAAGCCAAACTGCAGCCTGAGCTTTGCTTATGGACGCTTCCTAAATACTACTCCCAGGCTTGACATTGTTTATTGCTTTTCATGTCTTTGGCCAAGATTTTGCTGCAGCAAAGGGGAGGAGGCCTTTTCCCCCATCCCTTCTCTATACATGTAATATGAGAAATGATGTCATACTTACTAGTCCATAATGAGCAACAAAGCATATAAGGATAGATGGATGGATGGATGGATAGATAGATAGACAGACAGATAGAATCTTTTCTATAGACAGACAGATAGAATCTTTTCTATATATTTAAGGAATCTATCAAGAAACTTTTAGAATCATATGGCTTTACAGAATGCTATTCTTTCTTGCTGTCATATATTTTCATTAATAAAAATAAATTTTTTTATTATTAACTATGTGCCAGACAATATCCTAAATCCTTAACATATATTATCCCCTTTAGCTGTCCTTACAATCCTGGGAGATAGGTATGGTCTCCATTTTACAGATAAATGAATTGAGACTACAGTTGGACAAACTCAAGTCTGGCCCCCAAGTCCTTCATATTAAACACTAAATTTTGCCACATTTTTTAGAGCAGATTTTTGGTACCTAGTCATTGTCTTAATGTTCCATGCAATAAGGTTAAAACAGTATACTTGTAAATATCTTGATTTATCTGCAAGTAAAAATCAAAATATCCTTATCTATCTATTTATCTATCTATCTGTCTTCTGTCTATGGTAGAAGTGAATATGTCTTCAAATACTTAACTAATATTCAATCTGTATTGTATTTTAATTTTTTATATATTTTAAATTTAACTTGAAGAATTCTATTCTTCAAGGATGAATGTCAAAGATAAATTTGGAAGTTTTAAAATAAATGCATTCATAAAGCATTTTCCATGTCATTATAGTGACGTGTTATTTTGAATTGCATAATCTAGATAAGAAAATTAGCCAGAGAATCCAAGTGCTAAATAGCATAACTGATGTCATAACTTGTAAGGTTTTGGGTTTTTTTTTTCCCCCTTTTAAAGTGAAATAATGGCATAAGAATGTTCAAATGGCCAAAATAAATTAACAAACAGGTAACAGGGCCATGGACAAAGTAAAACTACCAATTCAACCTCAAGGGTAATTAAGTCAGGAAAATCACTGAAGCTACTAACAATTATACAAATATGTATTAAGATTCTCTACTTGCAAGTATTACAGGAGAACACTTCCGGATCTTGGTTGGAGTCAGCAAAATAAGATGAGGAAGTAATACCAAGGCTTATTGGTATCATAATAAAGACATAAATAATTTTTTTTTCCAGATTTTATTTTAGGGAGTACATGCAGGTTTGTTACCTGGGTATATTGTGTGATGCTGAGGTTTGGGGTATGAATGGTCCTGTCACCCAGGTACTGAGTGTAGTATTCAATAGTTCATTTTCAACTCTTCTGTCTTCCTTCCCTCTGCCCTTTAGAAGTCCCCAGTGTCTATTGTTCCCATCTTTATGTCCACAAGTGCCCAATGTTTAGCTCCCACTTATAAATGAGAACATGCGGTATTTGGTTTTCTGTTCCTGCCTTAATTTGCTTAGGATAGTGAGTCTAGCTGCATCCATGTTGCTGCAAAGGACATGATTTAATTCTTTTTATGACTGTGTAGTATTCCATGGTGTATATGTACCATATTAAGAATAATTTATTAAAGAACTTCATTATAGGGCATTCTAATCATTGGAATAGGATTCAACAGGAAATACTTCATAGAGCATGTGTTTTGAGGCAGAACTTATGGATGAATAGAAGTATTCAACAGGGAGACAACGTATGGAGGAGCTGCAGAAAGAACAAACATTAGCAAAGGAATCAAAGGAAGTGAACATACTTGGAAAGCACAGACTGATCTCATTTATATTCTAGAGTATAAAGCAGAAAAACAGGACTCTTAGGCTATAAAGTAGCATCATATTAAATGGCTAATATTCATCGTTTTTGAAACATAAACTTTAATTTCATTCAGTTCAACTTAATACATTGGAAGAGGACTTTAAATGCCAGTCAAGGAGGTTCTTATTCAGTGGGGAGCTATTGAATACTGTGAACAGGAAACTACTATGACCAAACTGTGTTTTCAGATGATTTATTTTATAGCTCTGTGCGAGCTAAATCAGAATTGTGTGTGACAGCATGTTTAAGAAAGCATCACTTCAGAAGATGTCAGAGAATAATCCCAGGGGAAAACAAAAGTCCAAAGAACGTATTGACTGTGGGCATGAAAAAGAGGTCATGATAATGAAAGATGCTTCGGAGCTCAAGTTCATATACAGAGTAGAACAACTGCTTGATTGGCAGGAGAAATAAACAGAAGAAGGACTCAAAGATGTCTCTGAAGTTTGAATTTAATAACTGGAAAAAGTAAAGGGAGAAAGTAGCTGAGAGCTATGCGAGGAAAGATCCTTTTTTTATTTTTATTGTATCTCTAGTCGCTAGCAGAATGCCTAGTACATAGTAGACAGCCAATAAATGCTAAATGAATGAGAGCGTGAATAAAAAATGAAAAGGTAAGTTTAGGACACGAGGCTGGGTATGTGGGTGGACTGGGCTCGTAGATTGCAGAACATGCAGATCCAAAGCTGAGAAGGGAAGTTAGGGAGGGAGGCCGTGGGTGACATTAACAAGAAGAATAGAAGAGGACCAGAGGGAATCTCTTGGCAGCACCT